AATGCAAAAACTGTTAGAAATTTGTTCTCTAAAACTAAAACACCCTTGTCCACTTTGGAACAAGTGAACACAATTTATAAAATTCCATGCGCTAATTGCGATCTTTGTTACATTGGGCAATCTGGTAGATCATTGAAAGGTCGTCTCACTTCACATCGTAGCGACATTAACTTATCGAAACACACTTGTGCTCTAGCACAACATGCGATAAATACAAAACATGAAGTGGATTTTAATGAAGTTAAGATTCTTGCCACTGAACGCAATCTAGCGAAAAGACAGTTTTTGGAAATGTGTTCAATATTAAAACATCCTAATGCATTGAATAAGAGAACTGACATAAGTAACTTGAGCCAGATATATCATGCTTTAATATTGCAGAATTAGGCTACTTAATCTTTTCACTACATTAATGTCATATTAGGTGTACTAGTTGAACTTTTTTCCACTTTTCATAAAATAATTTACATACATAAATAGAAATAAAATAAATAAATATATCAATTAAATAACTTAATTTCTTTACTTAATTTTACTATTACATATGCAACCCATATTGCATTTCATTATACTAAATTCTTTGATTAGAGTTTTAAATTATATATAAAATAATACAAACATTGTAATTGATTCATAGAATCCTTTACAAATCACAGCTCCAAGTATAGTGAACCTTGGGCTGTATGGAGATTATAATATCGTTAATCACCTGACTATTTAACTTGCCACATGATTAACGTCATCACATTATTATGAGTTTGAATGCAAATCTCCGGTTTGTAAATTTGGGCCGGTTAGTGAGGGGAGTTGTGTGTACACTACCAACTTTTTTCACTGTTGTTGTCCTTTACAACCTGGAAGTCATCCAGACTCAGTTATAAAATATAAAAATTAAATTAACCGCCCAAAATTCTGGGTTGGTATTTACACCTTGTTGATCTGTCAAAAGTAATTTTGACCTCAAGGTTGGCTGTCTTTTGCGGTTAGTTCGTTCCTGTTTCATCTAACGCCATTTTCACGGCGACATCCACAAGGCTTTGATCGGTAACTTCATATTCACTATTTTGTAGAATTTTATTAATATTACTTATAATGCTACCTAAAGTTAAAATCAAAGTTTAATATCCATTAAATAGTTGGAGGTTATTTATGATTTTCTTGGTTCTTTCTCACTTATTAATATAAATAACATTGAATTTATTTTGGACCACATGGTCAATTGCTGTGCTAATTTTTGTACAAGTTCATATATGTTGTTAGTTGCTTAACTGTTTATACAAGATCAGCGTACTATGTCCATTTACTTAGTTTCATTCACATATTTGTTAATAACATTGACTGCTACATATCTTTTTAAGGTAACAATTAACATCGTTTCCATGATTGTGTGGTTCTCATATTGTAATAATTTTTTAGATGAACTGATGATGCTTTCAAAACTCGAAAGCGAAACGTCTTCAAAATAGATAAAGTAGCCTATCAACTTTGTCTTTTATTTCTCCACCTAGAGACCGATATAAGAACCCACCACTCGTCTGAGTGATCCTTATATATATATTGGATTGGACGGTCGTACTCCTTTTTCCGATATATATATAATATATATATATATATATATATAATATATATATATATATATATATATATATATATATATATATATATATATATATATATACACTCCGTGTCATAGAAAACGGGCCACCCCAAATATTTAAAATATTTTCCGAATTATTATTTATTGCTACAAAATTAAGCATTTATTTTTTCGTATATTGAATCAATAACTCGTTTAGTATAAAATTTCATCATTATCGTAAAACATCAATCGAAAATAAAAAATTTAAGAAAAATAGGAAATTTATTGAAAAAATCAACTTACAGTTTTTAAAACAACAATGAACTGTATATTAAAAATAAAGCTGGTATCCATTTTCAGTAATGGGTATTGCCACCTCGATTCTGGATGACACTCCTCATTCGATTTGGCATGGAATTTATAACGTTTTGGATATCTCTTTGGGGAAAAGTGGCCCATTCCTCAATGAGTGCCATCTGGAGCTCTCCAGGTGTTGTTGGAGCAGGTATGCGACGCCTAACGCGACTTTTTAGCAGGCTCCATATATGCTCAATAGGATTTAAATCGGGGCTTTGAGCAGGCCAGTCTATTTTTTGAATACCAACCTCGTCAAGGTACTCCGTTACTATCCTTGCCGTGTGTGGTCTCGCATTATCCTGCATTAGCAGGAATTCGTTGCCAATAAATCCAGCATAGGGCATCACATGATGTTGTAAGATTTCCGTTATGTACCTTACTGCTGTTAACGCACCTCTGTCGATCACGACGAGATCCGTATGCGCATCAAAAGAAATCCCTGCCCAAAACATTACTGAACCACCACCAAAAGCAACCCGTGGTGCCCGAGTGCAACCAGCGAAACGTTCTCCAGCTCGTCTGTACACCTTACTACGTCCGTCTTTACCATAAATAGACATTCTACACTCATCCGTAAACAATACTTTTTTCCAATCGTCTGCTGTCCAATTGATGTGCTCACGGCAAAATCTAGTCTTCGACTTTTGTGAGCTGGGGAAAGTAAGGGTCCCGTTGCTGGACTGCAAGCTGTCAAACCTTGCTCCCTTAATCTTCGCCGAATAGTAGAAAGGCTGATTGCTGGTCCTTGAGCTTGCTGTAAATGGCCTTGAAGCATTCTAGCGGTTTGGGTCCGATTCCGTAATGCAGCAAGAAGGACGACGCGATCTTCCCTAGCGGTTGTTTTCCTTTTTGGACCCGTACCAGGTCGTCGTTGGTGAGATCCTGTGACAATAAATCGTTGCTGGGTCCTTTGTACAGTCGAACGACTAACATTCAATTGTCTTGCAACTTGTCTTTGACTTAATCCACTTCCCAGTAACGTTACAATTTCAACCGATTTTTGAAAATTCTCCATCGTTATTAACTGAAGACTACTTCACACTAAGTCGGCTACTGTAATACTGAGATGCGTTTAAAACTCATTAGAACCCTTTACAATATCAAACATTTCTCAAAACAATCGCTTCCTCGAAAATTGATCAAGTTGTAAACAACTTTTTCTCAAAATTGTTTTGTTTTATAGGTTCTACGAATATCCTCAATCCAGTTACAGGGTCGGTTTGCTTTCGCAACAACCCATTTAACTTAAATAACCCAAGACACATTAAAAATAAAATAATGTTAATTCAATATACAACAAAATAAATGCTTAATTTTGTAGCAATAAATAATAATTTCGAAAATATTTTAAATATTTGGGGTGGCCCGTTTTCTATGACTCGGAGTGTATATATATATATATATATATATATATATATATATATATATATATATATATATATTTATATATATATATATATATATATATATATATATATTCTAAGTGCAATGTTTTTTATGTTTAAACAATAATAAAAATTGTTTTTATAGTTTCCATGTACAAAATTAAATTTTTAATAGTATAAGTGCAATAATAAACGTATTTCCTATTATAGTCAAGCTTTTCATCATCATTAAGCCTCAAGAGTCCACTGCTGAACATAGGCCTCTTCCTCATGTTTCCAACCCCGTCTATCTTGCGCCGCTCTTATCCAGTTTTTATTGAGTCTTCTTAAATCGTCAGTCCATCTTGTAGGTGGTCGACCGACGCTTCTCTTGTCTTCCCTTGGCCTCCATTCCAATAACTCTTTGTCCATCGCCCATCTGTCATTCTGGCTATGTGTCCTGCCCATCTCCATTTTAGTCTGGCTATCTTCTCGATGATGTCAGTCACTCCGGTTCTTCTCCTGATGTCTTCGTTGGTTATTCTGTCTCGCGAGAGTTATTCCTAACATGGACCGCTCCATTCTTCTCTGCGTGACTCTCAGTTTGGTAGCTGCTGCTTTTGTTAAGGTAAGTGTTTCTGCTCCGTACGTCAAGACTGGGAGGACGCACTGATCAAATACCTTTCTCTTTAGGCATGTGGGCAGCTCACTTTTAAAAGTTTCTCTCAGTTTTCCAAATGCTGCCCACCCAAGGCCGACTCTTCTCTTCAGTTCATGAGTCTGGTTATCTCTGCCAATCATAATTTCATGTCCCAGGTATTTATATCTATCTACGAGTTCTATTTCTTTCCCACCAATACTGATGTTCTGGTTGGGCACCAAATTGGTCATGATTTTTGTTTTCGAGATATTTATATTTAAACCTACATTTTCTGTAGCCACAACGAGTTCCTGTACCATCTCTCTTGCCATACCTAGATCTTCAGCTATTATAAGTATATCATCGGCGAAACGTAAGTTGTTTAGATATTCTCCATCTATTTTTATTCCCTTTGTCATCCAATCCAAATTCTTAAAAGCATGTTCTAGCACCGTATTAAAAAGTTTAGGTGACATTGGGTCTCCTTGTCTAACCCCCGTTCTATTTTTATGCGATTACTGTTAGTATGTAATTTGACAGTGGTTATTGCCTGCAGGTATTATTATTATTATTATAAAAAAAAAATATACCTGCAGTCAAGCTTTTACCAGACCACTATATCAAGTGTTATAAATAGATAATTCAGGTACCACCAACGCCAGATGATTCTAAATGGGATCAATTTTTTTTGAGTTTGAAGATTCTGGGATGCAAAATTTTTACAAAAGTTATCAACAATTATTATTTGTATCGTTTCCTATAACATACATTTTTTTCAACAAAATTTATTGAAAAATAAAATAATTTGGGATGAAAAGGGTTAAATAGAAAAAGATTTACAAAAAAGACTTAAATGGGAAAATAACATATTAAAATAATTAGAAGCCTAAATGAGGTACCTATTAATACCAAAATAGCGTCCGTTTAATTTCGGAAAACAATAATTATTCACGACTCGTTTAATTCATATTGCTGTACGTTGTACATTTGACGAGTAATAAATATTATTAATAGAATTTTTTTATATTTTTTGTAAACATTTTTTATTTCTTCTTTGCAGGTTGTACCAGCATATCTGATATTAATAAGGATCTCGTGGTACACGAATCCTTTTATTCTAGAATTTAGTATGATTTAACCTTGACTAAAATTCTACATTACCGTAAAGCAACACCAAGTTACTGCCAACTAATGAATATTAAATAATTGTTATATGATATAAGTTATATAATTATATATAAAAAATAAATATAAAGTTAAAAAATAGTCTTTTGTTAATACCTATGTATATGTGTTTTAGAATAAAAAATAATGAGACAAAATTTACTTTGGTTTTTCATTACATATTGTAACCATTTGAAAAGTTTCAAAAAATGTATTATTATATGCAATGGAGTAGCAATGGAGTAGCAATAGTCATCAGCAAAGAAATCGAAAGATCAGTCAAACGGTTCATACCGATAATACCGATAGAATGGCACTATAAAAATTAAACATTATACCGTGCAACATAAACATCATTGTAGTGTATGCACCAACATCTGATAGCACAGTGGAAGAAGTAAACAGATTCTACAATGACTTAAACAAAACATTCAATGAAACTAAAAAAGAAGAAGTAAATTTGATTTTAGGTGACTTCAACTCGAAGTAGCGAAAGGAAGAGATGGATAAGTAGTAGGAGAGCGCGGACTGGGAACACGTAATGAAAGAGGTGAAAGATTAGTTCAGTTTTGCAAAGATAACGAACTCATTATCAAAAACACGTAGTATAAACTCCCAAATCGAAGAATATATAGACATATGTCCAAAAGTTTGGAATACGTACAAATAATACATCTACGCCTATGGTGGTTTTAAAATTTGTTGATATTCATTCTAGAGCGTTTTTAAATGAAAATGATAAAAAATTGAATAGTTTTTGTATGATTTTGGTCACATTCAACTGATTAGCGTATTTACACATTATTTCAGTCTTTGTTTAAATTTAAATTGAGCCGTTTAAAAATGCCTAGAAACGTGATATCTCATTTTAACAGATCTATAGTAATTGCTTTGTTACAACAGGGTTTAGACAAAGTTATATCGCGAATATTGTTGATGTTACTCAGAGTGCTGTATCGAAAATTAAAAAAAAATCCAAGATACAAATGACGTCAAGGATCGTCCCAGAAGTGGTAGAAGTCGATGTACAACAACAGCACAAGACCGGCAAATAACATTGATAGCTCGTAGAAATCGTCTGGAATCTACAAGTGGTATATCCAGAGAAATTTCTAGGCTTCAAGGACTGAATATTTCACGGCAAACAATAACACGCAGACTAAATGCGGTAAATTTGTATCGTAGAAGACCGCTACGTGTTCCTAAACTAACCTACCAACACAAAATAGTAAGGTTGCAATAGACAAGAGAAATAGAGGGAAAGGGAGGAAATTTGGAGGGCCCCAGGACGACAAGCCCGACTAGAAACAGCCCGATCGCGTGTTCCATTTGAAGGTGGCAGTATTATGGTTTGGGGTGGTATTATGAGTGGTACACGGACGCCACTGTTGGTTCTGGAGAGAAGAGTCACTGGTGCTGTGTACATCGAGGAAGTTTTAAATCCTGTCGTACGTCTATTCCGAGGGGCAGTAAGTGATGAATTTGTGTTTATGCATGACAACGCACCTCCTCATCGAACAGCAGCAGTACTAAATTTTCTGGAAGAAGAAGGAATATCTACATTACAGTGGCCCTCGAATTCCCCGACATGAACGCTATTGAACATGCTTGGGACATTCTCAAAACACGCATCAAGAAGCGAAACAATCCTCCTATTACACTTCGAGAACTAAAAGATGCTGCTCGTGAAGAATGGGAGAGAATTCCGCAAGCCCAGCTCGACCAGTTAATCGGCAGCATGTCAAATCGCCTACAGTCATGCATACAGGCCAATGGAGGAAATACCAATCATTAGTTTTATTAAAAATTTATTTTTTTCTATACTAATTTATTTTTAAATGTAAGTTGTACATTGTAAGTTTTTCACTCCAAAGAATAAATAATTTTTTTGCATATCGTTTATCTGGTTTTGAGATTTATTTAGTATTGTTGAGAATTGAAACAAAATGATGTTTAACTATTCAGAAGAGTTTCTATATAAAAATTAATTAAAAAATGAAATATTCCAATATTCCAAACTTTTGGACATATGTGTATATGGAAAGCACTAGATAGTGATGAATTATAATAGAATTAGAACCAAATAGATTCATAATAATAAATCAAAGATTTTGAAATGCCATAATATCAGCTAAAGCGTACCCAGGAGCGGATATAACAAGTGACCACAATCTAGTTCTAGCAAACATGAAACTCAAGTTAAAAAAGTTAAAACAACTGCCAAAACACCAAGAATCAATCTGAGAAAACTAAAAGAAACTGATATATACCAACAAATTACAGAACAAGTGCACAAAGAAATTCAGGAAGTAGAAAGGCAAAAGCAATTGACAGCAACAGATAAATGGAGGAAAGTAGAGGAGATCTTGAGAAATATCACAAAACAAAAACTTCCAGAAGACACATAATCTAAAAATAAACAATGGATCACACAAGAGATAAAAGAACTGATGACGGAAAGAAGGGCACATAAGAATAAAAACGAACAACAGTACAAAAAAATTAATAAAATAATCAAACAGAAAATCAAAGAAGCTAAGGAACTGTGGCTATCGGAAAAGTGTGAAAAAATAAAAAGGTTAGATAAACATACAGTTTTAACATACACCAGAAAATAAAAGAGACAGCTAGCATATACAAGAAGAAGGGTGTCAGAAATATCATGGATAAAAATAACAAGATAATAACGGAATGTACAGATAAAATAAACAGATGGGAAGAATACATAAAAAAAACTATTCGAAGACGACGAGAAAATTGAGGTCATTGAACCAAGAGGAATGGGCCACCAATCACCAAAGACGAAATTGAGAAAGCGCTAAAACGTATAAAATATGAGAAGGCCATGGGACCAGATGAAATACCTAAAGAAATCTTAAGAATATTAACAAAAAATCATATGGGCACACTAATAACATTTAATGACATTTATTATACGGAAGAGATTCCGAAATAATGATTAATATCAATATTCATTCCAATACCCAAAAATCAAACCCAATGAAGTGTGAAGAGCACAGGACAATTAGCTTGATGAACCATATTCTAAAAGTACTCTTACGAGTGATACACGAACGTATCTATAAAAAACTAGATGATAGAATAGCTGAACACCAATTGGGATTCAGAAAAGGCTTTGGCACCAGAGAAGAATGGCAAAAATACTGCAGAACACAGAATTAGTTGACGAAGACGTGAGAATCATTGCTAATCTATACCGATATCAGAAAGCCATAATACGAATAGACCAACAAAAATCGAAATACAGTGTTTATGTAATGTAAACATAGCAAGTGAGTGAAGAAAAAAAAATAAGGGCTAAGTAGCATAGAAAAGATAATAATTATTCGAGATAATTATTATATATTCCAAATTTAATAAGGGAGAATTAATACAGAAAGTATACATTTAGGAATTGACCTAGTTAGTGCATTGTTTGTTAATTGTTTAAACGTAGAAAAAGCACGTCAAACAGAAACTATTGTTGTAAAAAATAACAATACTCGTGACCCAAATACGAGTAATAACGCCTAAGACTACAACTCAGCGAAAACGCAACCTTGGACTACAACCGGTCAATGAGGACACCAGTTGAAAAAAAACCAAACTAAGGAGGCCAAGCAGTCAGTAATAGCGAGGCAGTCAGTAATAGCTGGGCACCGTGACTGCCCGCTCAGGCAGTATTGCCGGCATCGGGTGGGACGCGATAGCGTCCAGTACGCGATCAGTAATAGGCAGTCGGTATTTCTCCGGGGAGTGCTTAACACCCGGCATAGTATCTCGTGTAGTCCGGTTATTGGTGGTAACTCGTAAGTTCGTAACACAGGAGGAGACCCCTCAACTGACCGAGCTCCAGAGGACCGAAACGTGTCGTGGTTGAAAGCCTAAATACACATAAGGTAACAGATTTCTATATACTAACCTGAGTAATTATAATAGTACAACTGTCAACTCTTCACTCTCTCGCTCCTCGTCTCCCGACGCGCCGAATGACTTATTAACGATTGTATTGATTGTATTTGTAACTTCAGGGTAAATTCAATATATAGTAGATTCTAAATTGGTTTTTAATGTTCCTTTCGTCCGACTCAGCTAGAGACTAGGAGAATACAAGATTCTGCTTATGCATATCTCCGGCTTCAAAAGTAAGCCCATAACCTCTGTTCTTTACAGGACCTGAGACCTAGGAGTCCTTACCCCTATCCCGAAAATCCCTTATCTTCTCGTAAATCCACGAAGACGAACCAGTCAGTTCGGACCAGTGGGGCCAGTAAGCCTTGCAGCCGCTCGCAGAGTTAGCATCCTTTGAGGATCTATAATGTATTACATTACATCTGGTGACAGCGTTTTCCTTACCTTCATATAAATCCCACTATGTATTACATTTATGCTAAAGGAAAACTTTTAAGAATGGTGCACAGATATCAGTACTTAGGTTGCGAACTAAATGAAGAATGGGATAGAAGTACGGAAATAAAACGGCGTATTGAGATAGCTAGAAGTACTTTTAATAAGATGAACGCAATATTATGCAATGGAAAACTCAACTAGAAACAACTTGAAATTAGAACTAGAGTATTGATATGCTATGTGTTCTCTGTCCTGTTGTATGGAGTTGAGACCTGGACAATTACTGAGGCAACAGAGAAAAGACTCATTAACTTTGAAATGTGGTGTTATCGAAGACATTGTGAAAATATTTTGGACACAACACATAACAAATGCAGAAACGCTACTAAGAATGAAAAAAGATACAGAAATACTCAACACTATACAGAAAAGAAAAATGAGCTACTTTGGTCACATGGGAAGGTGGAAGGCAAAAGAGGACCGGGGACAAGACGCACGTCCTGGTTGAAGAATCTGAGACAATGGAGTGGGAAAACGTCAATAGAACTTTTCAGAACGGCTGCAGATAAAGTCAAATGGGCCATGATGACCCCCAATATCCTTAGAGATGGGCACATTAAGAAGAAGAATTCTGAGTAAATGTTCAAATTAATATTGTTAACGCCATCTATCCGCCGAGTGCATTTAAATTACCTCAAGGACCCTACTGTAGTTCCTTATTTCTCAGATGGTCACCTCAAAATGAGAG